AAGATGGGTAGGTGCGTTAAGAGCATAAGCATTAACGCGACCGCGCACAAGGATTTCCTTCTGGAACGACTCAAGCTCATGTTTAGTGGTGTACAATCCGTCAAGAGTGATCAGAAAAAGTCGACCGGTCCCCTGCAACTTAACATCCCTCTGCAGCTTAACATCCCTGCGGTGTCCGACACCGATCCTCAGCCGACGGAGATTGAAGTCGAAGAAACGTTCTTGAAAAACCAGCCGGTCGCGGCGCCGACTCGCAATGAAACTTACTTCTCGGCAGACGAAGAGAAAATGAAGTTGCCCATGACATTGTACGAATTGAAGAACGACACGACCTTGGACGAAGACGAGTTCTTTTTTGGAAGTTCCAATGGCGACGATGTTGGAAAGAAATTTCCAGCGACAGTTCCAGTGACGGAATTGGTCGAGGAAACGAATGACACCAATTTCTCGGAAGTGGTGGATTACAAGATTCCAGTAGATCTGAAGACAGTGTTGAACTCCTCGAGTGTGAAGAGGATCGACATCAGTGGCAGTACAGAAGAAAGCGTCTTGACGGAGAAGCAAGAGAGCTCCACCGAGTTGTCACCAGCATTAGTACTGCTGATCTCGCCTACGAAACTGACGAACGTAGTGGACGATCTGTCGCTGACGAAGAACGATACCACCGAAGAGGTTGTACAGATATCCAATTTTACCTTAAATGCCAACGAGAGCGTCCCTACTGGTGCATCCGATTCCGTGCTTCTTGCGAAGCAAACGACGTCGATCCCGATAGACGAGCAACGAGACAACGAGACGTACGTGAAAGACAAGGCACCGGAAACCTCCAAGCCGAGCGAGGAAACGGACTTCCTCTATGACGAGGAAGAAGGCGACGTAGATTATCCGTATAGCACAGACGTGCCGGATGAAGACGACTCGGCTGAAGGTGAGGAGATCCTGAAGCATGGAGAGGCCGGCATGACGATTCCCACGGTTCGAGATATCGAGCGTCCGGATCGCGATCGTCATCAACGGCAACAGGACCAGATCGCAGAGTTAAAGAAGCTGTTCAATACACTCAATCAGATCGTAAATCATCATAACGATTCCACGCCCACGGAGGATAAAGACGAGGCGGGCAGCAATGTCTCCAGCGAAGTCAGCATTGACGGTGACTTCATTGTAGAAACATACGACGGAAAAAGTCAAAGACAGCGAAGACAAATCCAAAAACTTGTTCAGCTCGGAGACTAAGAGTTCCCATGTTATATTCCCTGATGACGTCCACGATGTAGTGACCGTCAGTTCGCACGGACGCGAGCCAACCGAGCAGCTCTCCATGAGGTTCGAGAATGAGAAAAACAAGAAACTGGAAAGTGCATCTTCTTCGTACGATTCGCCGGAGGAAGATCCGACAACCGAAATTCGTACGATCAACGATAAACGATTGAAAGAGAGCATACTGCAAAAAAGTCCGAAAGATTTCGAAACAAACATCCCGAGCAGTTCCATACGAAGCACGATGAACTTGGATTCTGCTGAAGATTTCGTGAGATTTCCCGATTACGTAAGGCGGCCGCAGCAAGATGGTTACGTAAGGTTTCCGGATAGCGGGGAGATAGCCAACAGCATACACAGTTTGAATTACAAGCAGAATTCGCGCTATTCCGCGGACGACGTCGGCCCTTACGGCGGTACCAGCACCAAAAGCAGCGTGCCTGTCCGCCAGAAACCAGTTTATCATTTGATGGCGTCGAGTTGGACGACGGACTTGGATCGCGTCCAGGCGACACCCAGCGAGAGGCAGAATCAGACACCAGATTTGATGCATTTCTGGAGTAAGCTTCCGCTGATCAAAGATCCGGCTATCTATCCCGTCGATCAGAACGACGACCAGGAACAATCCTACACCCGTTCCTTTCGGGCGCGATCGTCACGAAGGTTGAGTCCCTTCACGGAGACGTCACCGGGAAACAGGGTTTCAACGCAAAAGCGAAAGACACCAATTAGCGTTTAATCTTCACATCGCTTTTCTTGAAAGAAAGGTTTAACGAGCTGTACGGAACTGTGTCAAGTGACTCGAGAATTCCGAAATTGCGTCAAGATAGTTTGTGGATTGTCGTCGCATTTAGATCGCTATTGTACGAGGGACTTTATAGTAGGTAAGATTGACAAGAAGGATTATTGACGGAAGACAATCTGCGGCAATCTGTTTGAGAAGTTCAAGAGTCGATACTGTATGTATCGCGTTTAGTATTTTTTTTTTGCTCAGCGAATGTGTTGCAAATCGTTGGAAACTTCGACGATCTCAAGAGGAGTGATCTGAAATCCAAGTATCTTCCCGGTATTGCCCTCCCTTCATGTGAGAAGAAAACTGGACTCGCTAAAAGCGGAGGGAAATTTAGAAACGTACTTAGACGTTTGTTTATTATAGTTGCGTCACGCCGTGTCGGTGATTAAATTTATTCGCATCCGAAAAAAGATTTTCAAGGAAAATCTCACAAATGCGTTCTGATATCTTATGCTGTGTAATTAATAGTGATAAGCATCGAACAGAGAAAGTAGCGAGGAAGTAGCAAGTAGCGTGCTGACGCAAAATATTTGCGCAATCGATGACAAATTTTTTCACGTTAATCAGATGCTTTCTATGGAAAGTTCAAACTGTGTCATGCATTTCAAAATAAATCGAGCGTCGGAATCACTTGTGAATTCATCGCGTCTGACGAGAGATATTAAGTTGCGAAAATAAAGCGTCGCTGTTTCAAACATCAAGGTTGATGAGGATAGATTTGTTTGAACTGACATTAACTAGGCTAATATTTACGAAAGCTAAAATTTTCTACCAGAATGCGCTAAAATAGAAGAAACACTGCCTGAAGTAATTTTTAAATTTTTTTACGAGTGATTTTTTTACATTTTTTCGATTATAGAAATTAATAAGGATCCGCAGTTTCGTCACATATTTAATTTCATATGTGATACTTAGCTCCTTATATTTTTAACAGTATTATTTTAATAATATAATCGCTTTCTAATGAATGACACTTTGCCTGTTTTATTCACAGACATAATAGGTACTTATTATATTTACTATTTTATTTGGTAATTTATTCAATGTTATTTTAACAATATAATAATCATTTTTTAATTTTATTTCTAACGAAATTTCATTTGTATTGACTCTACTTTATTCATAGATATAATAGGTACTTATTATGTCTATGATTTTATTTTAATTCTATTCAATGTTTTTAATGTAATCATGTTTTAATGAAATTTTTACTTATACTGACTCTTTCATTTACAGACAGTTTCTATTTTATTTATAATAAGTACTTATTACATCTACAATTTCATTTGACAATTCTATTAAATTTTATTTTAATAATACAATTATCTATTACTTTAATGTGACAAATGAAATTAATGGAAATATGACATAACAATCGCAGTGAATTCTAAATATATAACGAAAATGCGGGCTAACAAATTCTTGATAAAAAATATATCGCTGATTAGGCTATCGTATGATGAAATAGTTATTAATTCAGCCAAGTTTCGTGTGAAACGTCATTGATAAATCTATATTCTCTGTGCAGCAGAGAGATAGTTATTAGACTTGTCAGTGTTAACACTAATTTCAAGATAAGAATATATGAATGGCGTATTCGCGAGCTCGCGAGCGATATATTGAGCTCATTTACTAACGGAAGTGTTAATGAAGCACAGACTGATCTTTAGAATTATTATACAGTAGTCGATTTTCAGCCGTACGAAATCTTGGGAATCGTGTTGCTCTCTTCAGTAAAGAAATACAATCGTGCAGCATCAATTTCGTCATTTGTATTTGCAAAGTATTTGTAAAGAAGAGCGTATAAAACCATTCCGGTTACACGATCTCTTGCAAATTTTTAAATAACCCGTTTTTATAAATGGCAAGCGTGCGCGAACGTGTTAGACCACTTTTTGCAGATCATCACAAAATTACACCTACATTAGCCAGCCCACAGCGTAGAATAAGTGTTTTCGGTGTGTGATCTAATCGATCGTTGTTTCACGTCGATATAACTTCAAAGGTGATTTCTTTCAAAACAGTCATTGAAATCAGTCGAAAAGTTTCGATGATCTTCATTGTATTCGCTTTACCTTTCATCTAGGAAAGATAATTATATTTTGACGGCAACGTTGTCTCCGATATCGCTATAATAAATGCTCCGGCTCTACATGTGACATGTAGCAAGAATATATTTAAAGCTTTTATTTATTATAGTTGTGTGTGTGTGTGTGTGTGTGTGTGTATGTGTTAGTAATATAACAAATCGATATAAAATATTTTCAATAAGTTCTATTAATGTAAATCGCAAAAGTCTTCGTAAGTTAATTTTTATTAGTACAAAACATACAGAAAAATTATTTTCACTTTACTAGGCAAATAATTTAGAATAATTTAAAATTAAATATTGTTAAATTTTGTCATTTTATAATACTCTCCTGAGATATTATTTTCTATAGCTTTCTTTCTTTTGAAATCAAAAATAAAAGAAATTATTGTGTCATTGACAAATATAATATTAAGCAGTACTCCATTCAAGTAATATTTAAATTATTAAATCTTATTAATATTCGTAAATTAAAATTTTTTTAGTACTTTGCTTCCTAATTTTAATCTGTTGCGTACAATGTTACTAAGAAGCCGCGACTTTTATTGTAGCAGATGTTATCGAGTCATCATTCAAAGCATTGAGACATTTCGAATCAGCTTTCTTGCGCGTGTTTCCTTCTACGAACTCGATAATTAAGCCGAAAGATTTTACGATACTTGACATTGTGTGGCCAGTAAATTTACTGATCTACATACGTTTCAATGTGGTGTGTAATTTCTCCAGTACTATTAAATGTCGATTCGTGTACATATTAATTATATCATTGAGGAATGTATATACGCATAGAGGCATAATGTAGGCATAATATAAATAAATAAGCGTTAACAGCAGCACAGTTCCGATTGCGTATTAATCGTGTATTAAATCTTCTTGTATTATTTATAGCGAAATATATCAATGTATATTGCATTTGTCGTGTTGTGCGAGGTCGCCTGTTAGATAACGGAGTAAAGGAGTTATAAAAAAGAATCGCATACGACGCCCGTATGATACAAAATTATCGTGCTCTTTTATTTGTACAACCTGCCCAACATATTCTTTTTAAATATCTTACAATTGAAATATTAAATTCGTTCGCGTTGCTTACAAAAATATTTAATTTCGCGACAATATATATAATATTATTGATACACATTTTTATCCATAAAGCGTTTTATATAACAATAAAATTAATGTTGTTTATTTATCTTGTTAGTGCAAAAGTTTAGGAGATTTCAACGCGAATAAATCTATTGTATCTATGAACTAATCAATTACATCAACTCGTCTTGAGACCTTTAAATCTCCTAGCCAAGAAGAATGTCTCAGTCGATTCGTCCCTCGTCGCATCAGGTCTAATTGCCCTGACACTATTGTAAAACTTTAACAGATTCTGTTCAAACTGTTGCGTCTTACCACCGTCCCAGATTTTTACAACGAACGTGCTTTGTACCTTACTGATTTGTAACGCGAATCTCAAGGCAGCATAAGCGAGTAGCATTATATTATCATGGTCTATCTCTCTTACGCCGGATGCATTTGGAGCCATGTCGGACAAGACGACATCGACCTTGTCCCCCTGCAATAATTTGCTTAGAGTCTCCTGCGTTTTGATGTTCGTGAAATCCATGTTTCCCAAGACGGTTGCACCTTCCACAGGATAAAACGGGAGTTTGTCGACAGCGTACACTCTGCCAACAGGACCTTCCTTCTTACCACCAGCGTTGGTCAGATTGGTGGCGACCTGAGTCCAGCTGCCGGGCGCTGCCCCACAATCTACGACGGTCAGACCCGGGCTGAGGATCTTGAATCTCTCATTGATCTCCAGCAGTTTGAACGCGCTTCTGCACCTGTACTTCTCCTGCTTTGCCTTCTCCACGTAGGGATCGCGCAACTGCCTCTCCAGCCACAGCTGTGAGCTGTGCTTCTTATTCTTCAGATTCCGCGGGGTTTCCTTCAGAAGCGTGCCGCTGGTATGCAAGCTTCTCGCCAGCGAAACGTTCCTGCAGAGAGAATTCATCCCGTATGTAATGTAAATGTGATCTAACCTGTGGCCAAGCGCGCGTCGTAAACGCTCAGCATAAACGTTTGATTCAACTTCTGGTGAATTAATATTTATCTGTCAGCAGACTAGCGTCATATACTCTCAGAGAATTGTTAATATATACAACTTGCGTTATTAAATGGAGAATAAACGCGTGTAAAGGCAAACTGTTGACATCGCAGAATTAAAACCCTGGACGCGGCCATGTTGCCTAATCGCCATTAATTTATTTTGATTGTCGATCAGCTGATTAACATCTGTCGGTGTGGTGGGTTTCTGCCAGGAACTCGGCGAAGATTAATTCTCTCTGATTCTATTAAAAATTATTCTTAGAATTTCTTATATAATTTTTCTTCTTAGAAAATTTTTTAGAATTTTTTTGTACAAATTGGAACACTTCGGAAGAGAAAGTCGAGAAAGTCTACACATCTTTTCTAGAATTCTTAATAAAAATAGAATTAATGTTATGAGTTAACCGCAATGTCTTGAAAACAATCATATTCTTCTACAAATATTTTTCTACAATTATCACTCGCACAGATAAACCCGGAATGGTAACAATAAAAATGCTTTAAATAAAAATCAAATATTGAGATGATATAAAAATATTATTGTTTATCAAATATTATTATCAGGACAATAACAAATCATAAATTAAGATAATATTATTGATGAACAAAAATAACACGAAATAATAATGAATAAAAAAACAAAATTAATATTTTAATCGTCTAAATTATAATGCCATAAGATTATCATCAGAGTGTTTAATAATTCCTTGTCAGTGTCTCAAGTAACTTTTTGTAAAAGTGTACGTATTGTATGATATTAAATATGCATGCATATTCAGGGAAACGCTCACGTACTCACGCACACACACACATACACACACATATGCAACACATGCGCGTTGTTCGGCGTTCCTCGGTATGCTCGTACTGCTCGTCGTAGCAGAGTACAGTCAAGTACAGTACGGAAGAGTGTCGTGTCGGCGAACCGGCCAACCGGCGATGTGACCGAGGAGCCGCGGAGAGAGCTATACACACATTTGAGGTTTCGGATGTTTTCGTCGACGGAGTGATCCACGATGAACCTCACAGCGGGCAATGCGCACGGCAACGGCCTGCTCTACGCCGGCTTCAATCAGGACCAAGGTATGTTCCCGTGCGGCTGTCTAACAACGCGTGTCGATAGCGGAACAACATCCGTGACTGCGTACCTGTCAGATTTGCCTTACTTCCGTGTTCTAACCTAGCCTAGTTTTGCCGCCCGCGCGTCTACGCAATGTTCGTTAATGTTCGTCTCCACGGTGATCCGCGCCAATCTGCGCGATGCCACCATCTCTCATCTGAGCTGCACTTGGCGTTCTCAATTTCATGCTATCGTAATCTGGAACGCCAGAGGACCAATTTCGTCGATCGATCGACCGCGAACCTCTTCGCCGAGGAATGTCGGTGACCTTTTGACGTCCGCGCGACTTGCAACTGACAGATTAACGATTTATTCGGATTTACTTTTGTACAGTCAGATTAGTGAATGATCTTCCCATTTTTATAAAAGTGTGCAATGAAAGAATGAAACGATTTGACACATTTGTTTGCATCTTTCTTTCGTTTGCTTCCGTTCCATCTCGAAGTGATACCGTTGAACGTTAATGCAACGGACGACTCCATGATTGCACGCTTGAAGTAAGTTCGCGCGATATCGTTTCCATGTATGAGTTTATCAGGTCGAGTCATCTTCTGCACTCGTGTCGACGTGTTTGTGTCATAAATATACATGATAGTGGATTAATATTGTTAAGGAAAGGAAAATGTATGTATAACAGATAAAATTGTATCGCTATTGTTCACGCATTTGCAGGATGCTTCGCCTGTGGCATGGAGAATGGATTCCGAGTATACAACTGTGATCCACTTAAGGAGAAAGAGAGGCATGACTTTAGCGATGGAGGTCTTGGATATGTAGAGATGCTTTTCAGATGTAATTATCTGGCGTTGGTTGGAGGTGGAGTCAAGCCAATGTATCCGACAAACAAAGGTTTATTTACTTTCTGTACATTTGATATACATATAATTAGGTTCTGTTCTTTGTAATTGAACTAGTATTTTTGTTGTACTTAAAATAAAATATGTTGTTTTCCAGCAAGAAGCATAGGCTGTTTGTCAAACTCTTCGAGTCATTCTTGTTATTTATCAACTGTTAAACAAGGATAATACTTGCGAGAGCGTCAAGTGGAATGAACCCATAGTGTAACATAGGGATCGTTTTATCTTTGTTTAACATTAGCGAATAACATGGATGCAATAATTTACTGTGTGTAATAATGTGTTATCTATTGCTGGAAAGTATCCATATATTTAAAGTTTGATGAAAGCAAGAAAGTTTTAGCAGTCCAGCGACAAAGAACAGGCTTATTATCATAATTACAGGCTACTTACACTTTATGATTGCAGTTATGATATGGGATGATATAAAGAAATTACCAGCAATTACCTTAGAATTTAACGCACCCGTGAAAGGGGTAAAATTGCGAAGAGACAGGATAGTAGTAGTGTTAGAGGGTGTTATAAAGGTTTATACGTTTACACAAAATCCCCAACAGTTGCACGTATTTGAGACTAATCCTAATCCGCGAGGGTTATGCGTTCTATGCCCGAATAGCAACAACTCCTTACTAGCCTTTCCTGGACGAAAGAATGGCCACGTTCAAGGTAAGAGTTCAATAAAAAAATCGAGATCTCGATATATCTTCTACATCAAATATATTACTTAATACTAACGACTTGTGTATTTCAGTTATAGATCTGGCTAATACAGAGAAGCAACCCTTAAATATAGAAGCACATGAAACGCCTTTATCTTGCATAGCTTTAAATCTGCAGGGCACCAGATTGGCCACTGCCTCGGAGAAGGGTACTTTGATAAGAGTATTTGATACGCAAAATGGTAATATGATTAACGAATTAAGGAGAGGAGCGAATCACGCAAATATCTATTGGTAAGCATAGTAAAAGGGGAGATATGACGAAACACGTAACATGAAATATTAATTTTTATATATTTAATTCCAGCATAAACTTCAATCATGACTCTACGTGGCTGTGTGTAGCCAGTGATCATGGCACTGTGCACGTATTTGCCGTTGAAGATCAAAAACTGAATCGCCAATCTAGTTTAGCGTCCGCCACGTTCCTGCCAAAGTACTTCAGCTCGAGTTGGAGTTTCTGTAAATTTCAAGTGCCGAGCGGTCCTCAATGCATGTGTGCGTTTGGCCAAGATAACAATAGTATCATAGGTGAGCGATGTTTGTGAATTATATATATGTATATCTGTTTTTATCAGTATAGATTAACTTCAACCTCGGTTTAATTTACTCATTATCTTTTCTAATAGACTAGCGCGGTAGTCAGTTCTTATTTTTAAAATTGTCTTGAATATCTTAAGATATTATAGTCTTAGGATATTATAAATCATTTATAGAGTCGTATTAGCGTTCCTAAAACATTATTTAATCTTGTACAATAAGAATAGACTATAAATATTGGTCTTAGAATTAGAAAAGGATGTAAGTTAAACTGACAATGAAATTAAAGTTAATTTATATTGATAAAATTACAAGATTTTTAACCGAAAACCATTACATATTTCGAGCAATCTCTCACGTTTACAATTTTTATACACAGTGATATGCGCAGATGGTAGTTATTACAAGTTCGTGTTCAATAACAAGGGTGAGTGCACGAGAGACTTTTATGCTCAATTTCTTGAGTTGACCGACGATAAAGCGTGATTGGAGGATACATAATGGCGGTGAATTTCTAACCGCGCGACGAGGGACTTGACTTTCGTGTTCCTTCACTATTTTCACTTATATTTCGGCTGAGTAAAAGAATTCAATGGCTCGTAGGTACATCGCAGGTACATGGAGATTGTAACACTCGAGCTGTTTATATAGGGGCAATAAAGTTCGTACCTAACGTTACGATAGAGGACCAAATGAAGAGTTCTATTGACTGTTGGTGATATCGTTCGTTGGTGTATTGTGCGCAGATTTTTGAAAACAAAAAGAAAAATAATTGACAAATTGAACAGACAAAACTATCTTAACAGAGATTATGTCATAAACTTGTTACACAAGCCTATTCGCTGACGCCTATTAATAGACGAAAGGAAAATGTTAAATATAACAAACAGAAGGAATACTTTCCCAGGTGATAACCGGAGACATCGCAAGTTACTTGTTGGCGTGATACTCACGTTTTCTTACGTTTTAGATAAGAATGTTGCTGCAGCTAACTAAAACGAACATTGGTCATAAAGCCTAATCTACAATATATTCTTTGTTTCCTGTTTCTTACTTTTTTCCTCTGCCGTCGACAATCGTGTTTCTTGTCTCTTTCGAAGTTCGTCAACCTTTATCTTGGATGACAGAAAACGAATAAATAAAATAACAGACAAAAAGATAAGAGGTAAAAAGCAATAAAAACTAAGAAACGGCATGGAAAAAAAATGATTTTGTTATGGACGTAAAAAGAATTGTAAAATTTAATTGTCCAATTTATGTAAACAAATTTGCATATTTGACAAATATTTTGTATTTGTTACAAATCATTTTTGTAACGAGTACAAAAAAGAATAAATATTTGTTACACTTGCAAATTTGTTACACTTGCTTTGACCTGCAATAACTTGCAATAATCCTTATATTTGCAAATGGAATTTATGCTATAGGATTAGCGTTCATAACAAATGTTTTCTTTCCATGAAAAAGCAAAGAGCACATTGTAGATTAGGCTTAAAACATGTTTGTGACAAAAAGCAAATAATTATTTGCCGTAGCTTCACGGTAAGCGCTTTGCAATGCAATTATATATCCTTATTGATCATGTGTTTCGTAGCCCAGCAAATCTTTTCATTATAAATGCATTATGTATAAAAGTGATATACATCCTCTTCGACGATTTTGAAATCTATTTAAATAGATCGTTGTTATAATCGCATCCATTTTTTGGCGATTCGTTGAACACTTTTGTTTCGTAGCCAAATCATATCATAGATACGTCATATACATATATATATCTACTGAAGTATTATAATTTTTATTTTTACGTTCCCATACATTTAATATAAATAGATTGTTGTTATAATCGCATCCGTTTTTGGCGATTCGTTGAATACGACATTGTTTCATAGCCGAATCATATCATATACACGTCATATACATATACATCTGAAGTATTGTAATTTTTACTTTATGTTTTTTTTCCATACATTTAATATACATATACGCAAGAGAGATTCTACACTTTATCATACGGATATTACCGCAGATAATGAAGTTGTAATTTCACAAAGAAATTGGGTTTAAATATGAAATAAAATTGATTATTCCTCGATTCGGAGTCCTGCACTTCTATTTCTCTAAATAAATTAATCTATGATTCATATATTGTACATAGCGTTTTCGATGTTGTCACTCTATCGAGCGCAGATCTCCCGAGAAGACCTCGCTCGCTTATGCTAAAAAATTAAATTCAGTCTTGCGCTTGAAAGAAAGTGCGCATTTGTTCACAGCACAAAGAGAGATATTACTTTTAGAATTGTGATATTTTTATCCATTATAATCTCGTCAGATGGAAATCCAAAATGTATGTCACATGTAAAGAGTATGGTGCATAGAAAGAACGATTTTACTGAAATATTAAAAAATTTAATTAAATACAAATCTGAAAATAATTTTGTTGGGCCACCAAGATATATCTAGAACATTCAAGTATAAGCAATCGTAAAAAGTTTTGACAGTTAAACAAGCAGCTGGGAGTGTCTTACAATTATTTTGATGATCTAACAAAATTATTTTTAAATCTGTATTTAGCACTAAATATTTAGCAAAATCGTTCTTTTTGTAATAAATAATTACTAGCATCTGTGCGTCACATTAAAGAATTATCTTAACGCACAAATGTAAAGGAATATGCAACTGTAACAAGGCAAAACAAGGAGAAACATTCAAATATGAGAAGCGCGTTCCTTGCAGATCTTGAGCTTTACTTTCTTTATCCTATACGTGCGATACATGTTTTTATTACCTTCCGTCAATTTGCAATCAATTATTTCACTTTCGAGACTTCACTTTCGTACTTTATTTCACGATTTTGTAATCATCTCTAAATTGCCATCCCAATTTCCAAACTTGTCCAAAAGCACATGATTTTTTAAAATGTATCTACGTCACTGAGATCTTATCGCGATTGAATCTTGCGGTTTTACGGGGTAAATTACGAGGTTTCCTCATCTTCGTAATTTACGTAAAACCGTAAAACCGTACATTGACAAAAAAATTCTCCATTGCTATTTCATAATATTTTTAAATTTCGTAAGGTTTGTTCACCGAAATCTGGACCGCTTTTGGTACCTCCAGCGGTACGGGTACTGCGTACTTTTTTTTCATAATGTGCACTTCGTGCGTAAGTCCCTTCTTTGTCTCAAGGCTCTTATAAGTACTGTACACCACGAACCAGACGTAAAAGCTCGCGATTATCAGGAAAAAGACGATTAGGCCTGAAAATATCACATCGTCCTTTAATAAAAACACGATAAATATTTTATAAATAAAATCAATGTAAGACTTTTCAGCAAACGAAATAACATATAGATATATCATTCTATCTTTCTCGTATCATATATTTTACGTAGTGTTTTTATAACGTAATAAGAGCTCAGTACTGCAGAATTTCTTTAGTTAAATTTTTTTAAGATAGAAGAGATATAAAATTTAACCAAAGAAATTCGTACAGTATGGAACACAAATTTTCGATTTTATATAATTTTAAACATAAATAAGCGAGGAAGATCTTCAGTTAGAGCGGATCTTCATGCTTAATAATATTTTTGCGTGAATTTTACAATTTCCAGCAAATTGCACATCGATTATTTATTGATCTTGAAACATGAAAAAAATTCAAATTTTAACTTACGTTGGCAAATATCAGCTTTTCCGCCTAGACTAGCGAGGAAAGGACAATCCTCCTCTACCAGGAATAATGAGATCGCTAGGGCTGCTATGATAGTGATCTTGACTATCATCCATGGCGTCATAAAATGACGATTGCTCTGAAAATGGAATATATATTATAGAAAAAAAAAAACTTTGCCCAAGCAGAACAAGTCACAATAACGTCAAAATGACATTAAAATGAATCGGAAATAATTGAAAAATGACTTTTAATAGTAATTTTGGAATCATTTTGATATCATTTTAATATCATAATGACTCGTTGTTCTTTTTAGGCGAACTTCAATTATTCTTTCAAATGATTTCGATTACCGTCAAAGCCCCATAGAGAAGTAACACGCTAGAGATGAAATGGATAACTGTGATGACGAGGCCGCAATACATCGCGTATTCCAATTCTGCAAATACATAAAATCGCTGTAACGGGAGGGACGATGATTGTTTTGTTGTATTTTTTCATGCGTGATTTTTGTGTGTCGCGTGAATGCAAGTATTAATAACCGGTTGCAGTGTGATGCGCCAGTTCCAACTTTTCTTTGTTGAGATGGAACGATGATATCTCCTCCAAGGCCTCCCTTTCGAGTGCATCTTCGGTATCTCTCGCCAACATTTCTTGAATTCCCAATGCGTGCGTCACACCCAGAATGAAGAATATCATACCCAACCCGGACGTTAACTGCGTATGAACATTTATTAAAATTATGCTCAGCGAAGCAGATCAATTGTCCGACACAGAAGTTTCATAGAGATTACTATTACCATTTGGAATATGGCGATTACTATCGTACCCTGCCTCAGGTTGAAGTAGTGCATAAAGTGCTTCAACAGTCCGATCTTCATCTTGGCTTCTAAGAATTAATGTAGATTACACTAGCACTTCAAACAGTCCTGAAAGTTTATTATTAATTATTTTTTACGTAATTCATAAATATTTATAGCATTACGTGTTTATTATATATTTTATATTTAATAAATTATTCAACTTTTTAAAATACATTTCGCTATTACATATAAAGTAAAAATTCTATAACAGAATCTGGCCACGAGATGACGAACTTTTAATCGGCCCATAATTTTCGTCAATTTTAATACGTTAATATAACTCTATTAGGCCAGAATTATACTACGCATTGAAGATTGAGATTGAAGACTGAAAGATTGAAATTTGACCAATCAAAATAAAATTTCTTCGTCCTCATTGGTCAAATTTCAATCTCATTTTTTAATCTTCAATTTCAATCTTCAATACGTAGTCTGATTCCGGCCTTACAGTTTCCAATATAAAGTAGATTGTACTAATTGTAAATTGTACCATAACAATCCATGTAGAACAGACCCCTAATAAACGTCCCAAAGAAGGTCACTTTCAGAAGACATTCCTACATTCTAAAGACGTTCTAGAAACGTTCAGAAGACGTTTCTACATCCTAAGGACGATCCCAGAACGTCCCTTGGATAAATTGTCCACTACGTGGAGATCACTTATAAATAAAAAGAAACAGTGAGTAACAACAACAATACATCGAGATCATATCACATTCCTGTGCCCATCTTTTATCGATTAACAATCCATGAAGGTTGCAACCTCTTGGCAACCCTCAATGTAACGCATTGAGACACACCTTAAAACAATCGAAATCACAGCGATGACGAAAATAGGTGAAACACACGTCGCCGCTTACCTTGGCGACCAGGTGTGCTCCGAGTATGCTCGTCGAATTATCACCGTCCGTTCGCAATAAGAATCAATAACTCTCGTCTTGCGCACACCTCGCGATAACGGGACGCTGCGTGGTAGCTTTAATTGCGGGTTACCATCGATGAATTCTTCTGACACCCGTGCGATCGTAGACGAGCGAAAACTAATGTAACGGAAAAAGTAGCGCGTCTCAGGGTCGGTCTCATCGAGGTGCTTGCGACGCGCAGAACGCGAGGGTGACTTGGTGGTTCGAGGGGGGTTGAAAACGGCACCCCGACAGTAGACTGAGCAGACGCGCACGCGTCGCGGCATGCACGTTATCGCATCCCTTGGAGTGCTTTGCCGCAGATTGATCATTGTTTATTTACACGCGTCGCGTTGGCGTCAATTAATCGCATGATTTGTCAGATTATGATTCTTTAAAAATGAAATTTGCTGATTTAATTAAGCTTGCTTTAGCACGAAGCTTCGACGTGTGATAAGAATTGATTTATTTTTTATTTCTTTTCTTCGAGGGATGATTAATTGAATGTGAGGACACATTTAATTGAAGGATTAATTACTGTAAAAAGAGCAATTTTTTAAAGAAAATTGTTTTAATCTAATTTTGGTTTAATTGATGACTTTCAGAAGTAAAATTGAAAAGTTAGAATAAGTTGAATTACGATAAAATAATCAGGATCCTTATTTGATTTAATATTTCAGATACGTAAAATTTAGGGGATCTCAGAAATTTAGAAATTATCTAAAAAATATATCAAAATATATCAAAGAAATTCAAGCAAGAAAATTCGGAATTTTGAAGTTTAAAATATCTGGATCTAAGGGTCTGGATCGATTCTGTACTTTGAAACGAGGTGAAAATTACAAATTTACTTGGCATTGACCAATAAAATTGTAACTATTCTAGTAAATTCATTCACTTTTGTAATTTTCACTTTATTTCAAGATAAAAAATCGACCCCCTAGACATATAATTTTTGAATTTAGAATCCCAGTTTACGTTATTATCTTAAAAGTTTAAATGCCCAAAAACACAGCATATAATTTAATTATATTCCAATTTCTTTCGAATTTCAAAATCTAATCACGATTCATGTAAATTTTAATTACATATGAATGGGTTTGCGAACAGCTGCAGAAATTACCCACTCGTGAGTAATGGCTTGCGATTCGAATTCCAATTTAAAAGTTAGTTCGATCAAGTTGAGTCATCTTTTCAAGTAGTCATAGAAACGCGACGCGCGTCCCGGAATGGTAGATTACGAGGCCAAGAGGGATGAATGCGTGATTGTCGCTTTGGCGAGCCGCAACTGCCGCAAGGACCGCAGGGTCGTGACAGTTCGTGACAGTTGTGCAATTAGCGTGATTTCGCGCGCTCTCTCGAGGATTCGCAATTTCGAAACCGAAATGGAGCGAAAATATCAGAGGGTTGGTTTGGGGGTGGGCGCATTTCACAATCCTCCAAGGGCGAAATATAGCGAGGAAACAAAGAATCTCATTAAGCGTAAGTAAATGATAACCAATGTTCAACGCATGATTTACTTTATGTCAAAATTTCAACTGGTTTTCTTTTATTACAATTCGATCACGTATTCTTGACTGGCAAATGTTGAATATTAGTGTTAATGGAAGAATCCAAGTTATCAATGATGCAAAGGAAAATGATTCAGGAGGCGGTAGACAAGGGCGAATCCTTACCGCCTTCCATCGATAGAACGAAAAAAGCGAAAGATAAGGTCGAAAATGATCAAGTAAATATCGCAATATAAAGGATTTTCTAGAAAATAATTTCAAGATAATATCCTGTAACATTTTCCGTTAGGTTAAATTTCCTAATGCTTGGAGGAGGCGTTCACAGGATATGATTATAAGCAGCGGTGCTTACGAGAGAGAACAATACAGGAGGACAGCGCCCTTACGTAATAATTAGAAATAATACTTTCTTCAAGATAATAGTCGAATATAAAAATAAACGCACATTGAATGACATGAATTTTACGCAATTAGCCAACAAGGAGAAACAAAAGCGTCACTTGGCATGTATGATGGCTTTTGGAAAGGACATGCCGGAGACTCCTCATGGTCCTAAGATCCTCCACAGGGCTAAACGGGAACCAGAAATACCTGAAAATGCGGATTTTCTGAACGACTGTAAGTTACCAACAGTCTATTTTACACTCAGAAAAGAAGACATATTGTGGTAGTAGTATAAAAATTAAAAATGACAATTATACAAGTTTTATATGTAGAATTAATGTACTCTCTCTTAAATAAGCTATTTCATATTTACTGATTAAGAAAACAAATAATGTATATTAATTATATCTCTCTTTTATTTCAAAAGTGACACAGCTAAAAAAATTAAATTTCTCAAAAAAGGAAAAATTATTTTTAACTCGACAGAAAATTATTAATTAATTCCTTCAAATATTGTAATGCACGTCAAATTTGAAGATATTATCCGTTGAAATTATTTAATTCTATCAACATCTGAGATCTGATATGCATAATAATATATTTATTGAAAAAATGAGTTAAAATTAAAAAAAATTGATTTTAAATTATCTTTTTGAATTGAAACGATTTTTTTAAATTGTCCTTTTGAAATTGTGACAATGTTGACGATGTTTTATGAAGTTAATTCATTTTTTATAATTAATAATATTTACCTCATTCTCTTTTATTCATAGTGATAATTTGAAAATCACATTTTTTAAGTTGTGTCACTTGTGAAGTAAAAGAGCAATATAAAACTCGTATACCTACCTAGTTGCCATCTTTATAATTATAGAGTAAAATATGAAATTTTAAGAAAGTTGTCGAAAACTCTCTTTTTAAAATTATTATTATTTATAACAATCGTGCAAGCAGCAGAGCTTTCTAAGTTTAAAATAGATTTTTGTAATGCACGTTTTCGAAAACTGATGATGTTATGAGTGTTATGACGATAAATTGCATCCTTCTGTTTCTCAAGTGACACAAGGGATTCGCGAAAGGATGGATTTCTTGCACGATATGGAGAGTCTCGGAATGGGGAAGAAGTATCGACCTATAATACAGCAGGAGATAGCGCAGAAAATACGGCTAATGGAGTCGCTGGATAATCAAACGTCCGATCAGCTATGAAAAGAATTTTATGAAGTTAAGAACGAAAGACCGTCGTCAAAATTATTTCCATTGACTGAACCGGGACAGAATTGATTCTTCCATTGATATAATCTACATGTAAGCGCTACAGCGCTATAGATGACATAGATTGGATTTTACGTGTGTTACATATAATATTATCAATCAGATATTTTTTATTGTATTTCAATCATCTGATAACGACAAATGAATTTTACAGATAAGAACGTAATGCCAAGATAATAATGCCAAGTATTATAATCATAATGATTCAACTGTCTGAAATGTAAGCAGATAAATTATTTGTAAGATTATATTCTAATATTATATAATATTATTTTGTAAAGTTACTTCATATAGACTTTTTTAAAAAGATAGGTATCAACTTCGTCAAAAGATTTTTCTTTTTTTTCTCTAACTTTCTTATCTTTACCATATATTTTATATTTTATTTTTTATATTTTATTTTTTATATTTTATTTTTTATATTTTATTTTTCATATAATATTATATTTTATATTTTATTATTTTATATTTTATTTTTCATGTATTATTTTTATTATATTACATTTTTATATGTATTGTCATTCTCTTGTTTCTTAGTTTAAAAAATATTCTTTATATTACGCATCTTATTCGTGGTAAAGTAGTTTTTATAATTTTTGAAAATCTTCCAATATCGAAATAAAAATATAATTAATTATAAATCAATAATTTATAAATCAATTTGCTTTTCATTTTTCTAATTTTTAAAAAAGATCAAGAGTTAATTAAACCAAGATTATAAATTATGGTGGAAACAGGTATTAGAACATCTTTTAAATTCAAAATAAAAACAAACGTATTTATCAAAATGCTGTCATAGCTGAAACATAATACTTCCGTTAATTCAAAAAGATATTCTTTAAGAAAATAAAAAAAAAGAAAGATATTTAATATATTTAAAATTTCTAGCTCTAGTATGCAAAGCAATAATAAAAGGAAGAAAGGTTAAATAAGAACAAATAATTGGATCACAATTTAAAACTAATTTATTACAAGTTTTAATGTTGTCATTAATTTTAACAATATATAAATTGAGAGAGGGAACGTTTCGACTTTACTTAATCATCATCAGTCCTATGTAAAAAATAATGATGACAAATATATACTTTATTAATCAAAATTAAGTGAGTTTCATCTTAATTAAGTGTTTCAGGAAACTATTAGATATGATCTCACATGACAAGTTGCACATACGAAATTACCAGGGTAATATTAAGTTATTAAAAAGATAAAAGTTAAGTTAAAAAATTAAAAAGTTAATTAATTTTAACTTAACTTGGTTACAATTTAGACTTTTAACTTTATTTAGTTACATTTTATCTGTAACTATTAATTTTTATTTCATTTTTTTGAAGTTAAGTCTCGGACATAATATGCGGCAATAGTGATAGCTTAATATGAGATGAAAATTGCAAATTTAATAGGTGACCAATGAAATTATAAATATTCTGAATTTGTCCACTTTTGTAATTTTCATCTCATTTCAAATTACACAATCGATCCCTAGATTTCAATCTGTCAGAAACCATGTATTTTGATATATCTAGTTTCTGATAGATCGAACTCTATTATTTCTTATTATTAAAATAAAACATCCATTATTATTAAAATTTATCAATACCATCTTCGGCTCACGTGGATTCACGTTGATCGGAAGTTTAATGGAGGACTCATTTTCGATAACTTGCGAGAAAAGATGTCCGAATTGCGAGAAAAAATTTTGAAATAGCTTTATTACTTAAATTTAATAAGTATATGTGAACAAAATATTCAAACAATACAATATATAACAGTCTATATAAATAATAATATGAACAAAACCTGTAAATAAAATATAGAGTATTTTCTAAATGAAGTATATATTTGTCATTTAAATTTAAGTTATTTGTAAGACTGAAACCCTGGAATCACGAAATAAAAAATGTAAAAAAACCCATCAAAGCCGTCATCAATTGTTCGGATGCACAGAAAATTCTTTATTTTCATGTGAATGTAACAAAACGAATAAGATATATACGTTTCAACCCATATAATTCGGATCCTTATCAATATAAAATATAAATCGAAGTTACATAATTAACAAATTCCAAATTGATGATTCCCGACAATTTCGTTCTTCTTTATCCAAATTAGCTATATAATGAATAGCCCAATGATTATTAAAAATATTAACTTATACAATAATATTATAAAAATTTACATAAAGTAAAAACGAAATCATATACATTGCGTCGCTCATCAGATTGTAGATTTGCTGTGTAATCATTCAAAAGAAACATAAAAACGAAAAAAATTAAAAAATTATTAAAATCATCTGTCTGCGTTTTTTTATCATATTACATGTAAGCGTTTTCTTGTGACTCGACGTTAAAGGTCTTGTGGTGTCGACAGTTAGAGATACAATGAGAGTCAAAATAATAAAATCAAGTAGTTATTGGAATAACATAAACATAAAGATAAAAATAAAAATAAAAATAAGAACAAAGCTAAAATTAAATTAACGTCATACTTTTGCAAACAAATCCATGTATAGTGGGTCCAAAAAATACGTATCATTCTGTGAATTCAATTCTGTTTCTGCTTTATGAATCGCTTCCGAAATCAATCTTTTATTAAGTACCTTTTCCTCGTTTATAATATCTTGATATTTTCCCAATCAAAATCATGTTGATGGCTGATTCTGTGTTCTATTATTACGGAATGTTGTGTAGTGTTCTAATTTATGTGATTTTTATGTTTACTTATGCGTGTCTATCTTCAAACATCTACCTGTTTGGCCACATACTTCACAATCTCGACAATCAATTTTATACACAACGTCTGTATGAAATAGGCTATCTTTTTGACTCATCAATGGGAATCATCAATTGGAATTTGCGTTAATTATGTACCTTCGATTTATATTTTATATCGATAAGGACCCGAATTGATGAGTTGAAACATATATATCTTATTCATTTTGTTACATTTACATGAAAATAAAGAATTTTCTGTGCATCAACAGCTGATGACGGCTTTGATACATTTTTTACTGATAGATTCTTTCGAGCCTCATCTTATATGTGTGAAATAAAAAAAATAAAAAAACAAAATAAATTTAACTTTTAACTTTTCAATTACTTTTTTTTATTAACTTAACTTTTAATTCAATTAATTTCATTATATATTATATAATATTAACTTATATCTTAATCTCTCTTTTCATTATATATAAATTAACTTGTATCTTAATTAAGTTAAATTTTCAAGCTTGTTAACTTTAACTTAACTTAGTTAAAAAAAAAAGTTAACTTACTCAACCCTGGACATTACAATTAAAGATATTTAAATTACTATATTATACTGTAATATAATATACTATATGCTGAGATGCACGTACATTTGTACATATACAGCTCTTTTCTGGCGGTTCCGAAGCAGAAAACATAAACACCGCAGCATGTTTCATTCCGCTGGGCTTATCGCTTCACGAGGACTCCGCGGCGAGCCGCCGCGATCGCCCACCACGAGGCAAGGCACGAGGATCAGCGTTCCTCCACCGTGCACGACGTGTCCCGTCACTCCCGTCGCCGTCGTCAGTCTTCCGCCGCGCGGCGACAGTGTACGTTGTTCGAGCGTTTTTCACGCATTGCCCTCATCGTATTGTTGACGTGTCGCGAGTGCCGCGAGTGCCGCGAGTGCGCGCAGCTCGATCGTGTTGCGAAATCGTTCATATTTGCGCGACCGGAACGTAAAACTCCAATTTCGACGCCTTGGTATCGTCGACCGACTCGTCGGGACCCGGGACGACTAACTTGATTTTTCTTTTTCTCTACCATCGCCGCCGATTCGCCGGACGAATGGTCCACGGATGATCCACGGATGATTCACGGATGATCCAACATGGCGTCGACCGATCTGTCGTTCGGTAAATGATAAGCCTCACCGAAAGAATCTCTGTGACAAGGTCTCTCGCGAGGCCAACCGGTTCTCTCGTCGCGTCGCGTCGCGTCGCGTAGCGTCGTCGCGTCGTCCCTGCGCCTCACGAAAACGCGGTCGCTCCCTTCTCTTTAGCCTTCCCTCTCCTCTCCCCCGCCCTCCTCCCTCCCCGGATGTCCCGATCTCCTTATCAATGCGAGCGCAATGAGAATACGGGACACATCGGGCGGACGTCTCTCGTTTGCCTTCCGTTCGCCGAGAACAAGCCTTGGATGCGACCGGACGCTGCAGCTTCATCTCTTTTTCTTTTCTTTTCTTCTCTTTTTTGCGATCTTGAGCCGCGCGTGTCCGGGATGCGATAATCAGCTGATCTTTAAAGCGCCTTGACATCCGCGATGTGATCGTGTATGCGCGACCCGACGATAACGATGATCACGACACGTGTTTGGTTTATCATTTCATTTATACAGTTAATAAACTATATATATTCAAATTAGTAAGAGAACGCCAAATACAATCGAGACTAGATACCGGTATTTATCCGATAAACTAACAGTAATATCAATATTATAATTTCCTACATGGAAACGACTTTGCTGAAATATTCAAAGATGTGGATACAGATCTAAAAATGATTTTGTCGGTCTATCACGTAGGAATCTCAAACATGAGTAATGTTATAAGAAATGTTGACGTTCTCAGAAACTAATTTATTCTTTAATTTGAATTCTACATGATTAATGATCCAACAGAATTATTTTTAAATGTGTATCTAATTAAATTTTTAAATACTTCAGCAAAACCGTTCTTTCTATATACTTAATAATATATATATATATATATATAATACTATAAATAAAATGTGGTACACGTTGTATGTACGTAACAGTTACATTGTGTAGTAAAAAAGTATAACAAAACTTTTGACATGCTAGGAACCAGTTTAATATCCTAGTATCCTATATAATTATTTTAATAACAGAATTATTTTCAAACCTGTATCTAGCTAAATTTTTAGATACTTCAACAAACCGTTCTTTCCATGTACTCAACAATATCAATGAAATGTAGCACACGTTGTATTTTACAGTTACGTATTGTTGTTAGGAAATTATAATAAAAATTATAACATTGATGTTATGTTACTGTTAGTTGGTGTTTACTGGGTAATAATATTTCTATGTAAATTTTAAATACATTTTTCTGTTACATATAAATTGTATTAATAAACTTTACATAGAGAAGATTTATCGAGCTCGGATTTTGAAGAGAACGCGCGTGTTTTTTTCAAATATTCGAGAATCGATTAAATCGCACGAGCAGAATGCCATCGAATGTATCGAAATGTGCTGGCGTTAAAGGGAAGTTAAGATGTACAATTTTAGCATGACTGTGTTAACATGGCAATAATGACGCATGATGTTTCATAATCGCTCTCTGATTTCACCTTGGAATTTCATTAGAAGCTATTCTTTCTTGCGTGATGAAATTTTGTTAAAAAGACATATATAAACAGGATATACCTTCGAACGTGGCACAATTCCGAACGAAATAAAATTTGAATTCAATTTTCGAAGCTCTAGCTTAATTTTTTCTGTTTAGTATAATCTTTCAATATTCTCCTCAATGAGAGGTTCACCAAACTTGAATCTCCATAATTGAATTCAAATTTTATTTTGTCAGAATTTGATTATGTTCGAATTGTATTATGTTTGAAATTGTGTATCATTTTTCTCTATAATAATATAATAATATTTTTGTCAAGATGATGTCCAATGTCGTCTAATAACGTGAACTTGCTTGAATATATGCATATTAAATGACTTTTTACTATACTTGAAGTTGAATTTGTTCGCTCATTTGATCTCGAAGATTAAATAATTTTGTCATCTATATGGAAAAAATGATTTTGCTAATTTAAAAACGAAGTATTTAAAATTTTAGTTATAAATACAGATTTGAAAATAATTTTGAAATCATTAAAATAATTTTGTAGGGGACGCTTAACCCAGATAGCACAGTGAATTCGCGAAGCATTCTTCAAGTTTTCTCCTTTCTTGAATTGTAATTCTTTAGGAATTCTTAGAAGAACACAATATAAGAATTCCTCAAGAAATTACATGCATCGTGTTGTGCGAAGTATTTATTATAATGAATTTTTGAGAAATACTTCAAGACGAAATGAATTGTGGTTTCTGCAAGAATTCTACAGATATTCATTTTTCTATTATTCTGTATGTGTATTCTTTAAAATTAACTCTCTACGAACTCCTATTCATCTCTGTGCTATCTAGGTAAGTTGATCGCTAGAATATCAAAACTTTTTGTAACTCATCCTGCTTTGAATTCCTATATATTATTATTATTATTATTATTATTTCTACATATAAAATCATGTTAATAATCTAACAAGATTATTTTCAAATCTGTATCTGTCTAACAATAAATTTTTAAATACTTAAGTAAAATCGTTCTTTCCTTGTAATTATAGTATAATAATATAATTTTAATTATTTATACATATATATCTAATTATATAGAAGAATCGAAGATATATCAATTCGCTTCCAAAGTTTCGTGCGAATCTCGCAAGTGATTGTATATCGTTGCACTGCTTTTAACGTGCTCGCTTAAATAGAGAACGACGTTGAGTTAAGGAAAAGGATTTTCCTCAGGAAAATCAACGCGGTAGATTTTCATAAAGTACGGTTTCTCATAAAGAAACGCAGAGAAAGTCACTCAGGTTCCCTTTAACAAAAGCACGCTCATTCGCGGGACGACCGACTCGGTACGAACGCATGCACGTATTCTGCGTACATTTCGTCACGCGCGACCGACGCATGCGAGAGCGGTCGCAGGTAAAGCGAGCGAACGTCGCTCTCGAAGGCCTCGTTATAGCCGCCGAGCGAGAGAGCGAGTGAGCGACGGTAGGACTTCATCGGGGAGACCTGTCTTTCTCTCTCTCTCTCTCTCTCTCTCTCTCTCTCACACGTTTCTCTCCCGCAAATCCTAGGCTCTATACCGGCGTTCTACAGAGAAGTCTACGAGAAGGTTTGCTCGCCCACCAGCGGAAATGTGAAGCTCGAGGTGTTTAGGTCTCTACTCGTCAAATCGCAGCTAAGCGGCTCCATCGTCAATCAGGTACGGCTCTTCTGTGTCTCGTTTATTGATTTATTTATAGAACTGGATGTGTATATTGTAATCGAAAATATTGTTTAATTAATATAAAGATCTAGCGTAGATCTTTTGAGGTTCTCTTTACTCACAATCAGTTGTGTGTAAGTATTTGCGGTCTTAATTTCTTCAGACTTTGCGTACATTGTAATGTACACCGAATTTGAAGATATTCATTGAAATTATTTAATTCTTTCGATATCATCTGAGATCTGATGTACGTAATAATGTATATATTGAAAAAATAGTTAAAATTTTGAAAAAAGTTAATTGTTTAATATGAATTAATTATTAAAGTGCGCATAAATTTAAAAACAATTTTTTAACATAGTTCTAATAAAATCAGGTCTGAAGGGATTAAGAGAAGGGACTAAGAAAACACTTTGTTTATTTATTTATACATTTATTTATTTATTTATTCTATACATTTTAAAAATCCAATTTATTTTAAATACCTTTTTAGAAAAAGAGCTAAAATGCTATTGATATTGAATGATATTATGCTATCGATACGTAAATTTTACGTATCAATAGCTTTCTAGGAAAGTTCTTTCGCATTTCCGATTGCTGTTAGTCGAAACGTTAGAATGCAATGCAAATACGATGATATCCTAAGAATAAAACTTGAATTACACTTACATGAAAGAAAATGATGTAATAATAGTATTAGTTAACAATAGTCTAATTGAAAATAATCTTGTTAATTCCATAATACTAATGAAATAAATATGTCATGCTCTTATTCTAATGAAACATTTGTTTCATTAATATATTGTTGTTGAGTTAAGAGTATTTTCAATTAGACTGCTGTTAATACATTTGTTTTCTATGTAGCAATGTAATTTAAATTACGTTGTAAACAATGGGCGTGTCAAACGCTAAACTGATCAACTCCCCTTCTTACAAACTTGTTAATTTTAATATAAACGGAGTATACACTTAGTTTATAACTGCATCAATTTTCTTTGCTTTTTATATGTATTATGAAGTTGACTATAATTTGATTTCTCATCTAAAGTTAAGATTCTTCACCGGTTACGATAAAGATGTCATTTATCTTCTTATCTCGTAAATAAATGAAGAAAAGAGGAAGAAAGCATTCCGTCGGACGTTTACAAAGAAATACATTATGCCATGGAGTAAATCCGATAGCGAGTTTAAACGCAACGAGCGTATTCTCGCGGGTTTCAGTTTCTAACGTGCGACCTTTCCCAAGAGAAATTTACTTGTATTGTGTTTGTTCTCTATTGCAATCGCGTGCACAAAACATTTGTATATACCTTGATTTATATTTTAAATATCAAGAAACATATCGTAATGAGAGAAACCTATTCTTTATATTTATATACCTTTTTCGATCGGACGATGTAAATAACGATTTCGATTGCTATATTGAGTAAACGAACAAAACTTCAC